CGCGAGACCGGTGAGTAGTGCAGGTGTCGCTCTTCATAAATTACTCCACCGGCCTCGCTCCGTTCCCACGGCTCTCGGCCCCGCCCCCACTCGTCACATTAAATTGTAATAATATTTCACAAAAGGCAAATGTATCACTGCACATTTAATAACTAATTTATCAATTAATCTGTACCAGAGTTTGGATCTACCATGTTAAAGTTGAGCTTAGCAATAGCAATGCCAAGAACATAGGTTTGAAGGAATGCATGAACTGATAAAATACATACTTTGAATGCAAATACGTTGTTTCTGATAAAAACAAAAAACAACAAAAAAAGTTCTGACTGTGTCAATTACAACAAGCATGGCATCAGGGTAAACAAAGGTGTAATACAACCATTTTGTTTCTTCACATAATACTTAATATACTCAAACAGAGCTTGTGAACAATCAATGACTAATTTAAATTTTCAAAAGGGTTTATGGTCTGCCCGTCATGTAATTGGTGAAGGGTGATTACTGAAGTGAGCAGCTAATGAATGACAGCATGTTGAAAATCTCACTGTGTGATGTCAACTGAAACCAATAAACAAACCTGCTACAATAATTGTGTTCATAGACTCTTTTTACATACCAATCTGCTTTTTGTGCACCTTAATGCAGTTATCAACACAATAGCTTTCCAGGAAGCCAATAACATACCTGATAATGACTGGCTTTTGCTAGCTCCTGATTGGCAGATTCCACATGTGATGAGGTGGTCTGAATGTAGTCTTCAATGCTGTCTGTGAAGAGAGAAAACAAGCATTATTATTGTTGTTGTCATCGTGTTATGTAGAAAATGTTACAATGCGTTCAGGATGTTCAGACTATTTCCAGATGATCTTCAGCCCATGTATGAGTAATCTTACACTTCATAAGAGAAAGTGTTCCTCACTCATACACATTTCACAAAAATAGAAGATTGTCCAAGCACACTGTGTACCAGAGCACCTTTATAAACATACCCACTCTCTCATTCATGTTCCTTTTCCCAGGGAGGAAGAGATTAGAGAGTAAAGTGCCCAGTGTTGATGCTGCCAAAAACTGCACTGCATTTTGTGGTTCCCTATACACCATCATCGCAAAAGACCATGTTGAAAGGAAGAGTCATAAATGAAATTTTGGCCAAAAATGAAATTTATCTTATTATTTACTCACCCTCATATTGTTCCAAGTCTGCATGCTATTATTTTTCCAGTAGAGATGCCATACAACAACATAATTCATAGTGAATAGGGACTGTTAAGGGCCAAAAGAAACAACATACAATTATAAAATTAAATATTAATATAAAAATAGGCAAATTATTAAATAAATACTTTAATCAATTATAAATATAATTAAAATGATCAAAAAATTTTTCTGAAGCCATATGATAACTTTGTGTGAGGAACAGCCCAAGTTTAAGTTATTATTCACTGTTAATCTTGTTCACGTTCATGACAAGAATTTAAAAAATGCCATTATTTACTCAACCTCGTATTGTTCCAAACCCGCATGCTTTTATTTATTTATTTACAGTTGAAATGCCACTGAACAACATAATTCATATCATAGTAACCATTGACTGTTAAGGGCCAAAAGAAGCAGTAGACAAGTATAAAATGCTAAATTAATTAAATAAAATGAAATAAAATTGAAAACAGAAAATGTTTTGGTGTCACTTGAGCATGAGTAAATAATGACAGACTATTAATTTTTAGGTGAATTATAATTATATGCTATAATTATAATTATATAATTAAATTATATATTCATAACAATAATCAGCCTTTCATAAGCAGGATGCACTTTTGCCAAATGAATTATTAAGATTCAATTCTACATTGGTTTGGGCAGCATTTACTGCATTATTGATATGTGAAATTATTTTTATAAAAAAAAAATCAGTGAAAATATACTTTGTAAATATTACTTATTATACTATGACTATTTGTGTATTAGGCAATATCTAGTATAAAAGTGTAAACAAATATTTGTAACATCTCTCCCGGTACCAAGAGAAAATTACCTAATATTCTACTCAAGAAATGCATCCCAAAAATACATTTTCCGCAGAGAATTGTGCTTAGAAACACACATACTGTATAATAATCAACTAGAAACACACAAAAACTCGGTTATGTCCTTCCTTCCTTAATTCGTAGGAAAGTCAGCCAATTATTAACTTTGAATAATCCAAATGAGTTATCTTGTTCCAATGCACATGTACTTATACTAGCAAGTGAGAGCATTGATTCAAATGCAAAGTCAATTCCCTTCCCAATTAAAAACAAATGTGCGGTTCACCACACAGGAGAGCAGAACGAAAGCAGAAGCGGGAGAGTTACAGCGGGGTTAAAGCAGGGCAGGCTCAGCTGAGGGGAACACTGTAGACCTCACCTCCGCCTAGCTGGAGGAACTAATGAGGTTTTGTTTATCTTTCTCTGATTTGATTTGGTGCTGGTCTCCGCCGTCACGTGAGATGTGGCAGGGGAGGGTTTGCATGGAAAGAAGCTGGAAACCTGTGCGGGAAAAGGTTTTTGTCTATGCTTTTTCTCTATTTTGTATTCGTCATTTAGTTAGATGGCCTTTTAAAGGATTAACAAGAGCTCCAACATGCTATCAGTTTGTAATCTTTCATCCCACCTTCCTTACCTGGATTCATCTCAACCCCACATTTCTTTCTATTTATGGTAACAGCTAAATTGCCCATTTTAAATGAGCTGAGTGGAGCACAGTTGCTCCCTGGTTTAATTAAAACCTGTAGGATAGTTTCCCGTACTTCTTATCACAAGCCCGTTCTCAGGTGGAGGTGCATGAACAACAAGCTTCATCGAGTCACAAAAGTGAAAAACAGCAAGAATATGGTCCTGAGTGCTGCAGACAGGAACAAACAAACCAAAGTTTACACAAAGCAATATCTGAAAGTGTGTGTGGGGGCCACACGATATTCAGAAAGTGCTCAGTATATACTCCAGTGACCAATATAACCCTCCCAGCATGAACATTTCTTCTGTCTCCATCTAAGATTACTGACCTGTCATCTACTACCAGTATAGGCAGAGTGAATCTGGGTGGAAATGAGAAATGGCTCATTTAGAAACACTGAAGGGAGATGACACATCATACAGAGACTTATCAATCAATATTTCAATAGCGAAACTGAAAAGAAGGCTCTGTGCTTGATGAATCATCAGCCATGTCTGCTAAACACACCCTGCAGGGCAACCAACCTCTTATTAGTGTCACTTGTGTCAAAAATACATTCTAAATGGATTTTTATCAAAGCTATTGAGCAATGCTGTTCCAAAAGTCGCCTCACTGTTTACTGTCTACACAGGCGACTATTTTATACAGCAGCATCCCAACTGAAATTGAACTTCATAAGCGAATGATTTGAAATGCTTTTCATAGCAATCCTGCAAGCTGTCACTCATGTACATGGCACAAATGACTTCTCACATGAAGTACACAAGACGTCTCACAATTCAGTTGATTTCAATAGAGCTCCATGGTGGCCACCCATTTTTTCAACAGCCTTGGATACAGGAGGATTCTTCTCTATTCTGCTATAAAGAGTGTTAAGCTGGGAACCAAACCAACCAACTCTGAGAGGAAAAACATTATATTACAAATTGATTTTAAGCAAAGAAGTATTTGAAAAATCAGACAACGGTACAATACTGGGCATTTAAATTATTTTAGGGAGAGAATGAAGTCCCATGAAGCATTGCAGATTACAACTGAATCTAAATGATGGTACAATATTACTTAGAGTCATTGATTATAAATTATATATTCACAACACATTTTGTGCAAAAACATGCTTCATGTGAATGGGCGTTTTGGGCTTGTTGGAGTTTGTTTCCATAATAAGAGCAACATATCTCATTGGCTGCCTCTCTCTTCAAAATAATGGGCAGTGGAGCTCTTCCTGGAGAATCTGATAAAATGTAACACTATTAAAAAAAAAAATTAGTTAAAATCACACATTTATGGATTCTACAGCACCATTGCTTAATATGTCATGGTAGGTTTGTCTTGAACAGTTTATGCATTATTGTCAAAAATCAATGTAGACATAATGACTGTTGCACAATTTAGAGCCTGATGTTACCAACACTAAGCTAATGACTTGATACTCTAGAAATACAAATATATAGCACACACATATTTTGTCAATAATCAGTTTTAGATTAGATATATGTATCAGTTAAAATTTTTCAGTACCGAATAAAAGTATTTGACATTTCCATAGGCTCCATAGGTTTTAGCCTTTAGAAAGGCTAAACCTTTCTAAAACATTCTTGTCACAGTGTGTTCTGGGATTGTCTTATTATCCACAAAGTATATGTTATCTTATACAACAACATAATTTTGCTACATATTGTTTCAAACTGGCTTCACATCAGGATAATGCCCAAAAATATCGCCTAGCTAAGCAGGTTTTGCTAAGTAAGCTAAATTTTGGAATGGAACTATAGTGTTTGGTTTCATTTTTAATTCACTAACTAAACAAAATGTCTTAAAGTTAAAAAAAAATTGATAAAAGATGCACCGTTAACCATAATGCATTGCTAGCTCAGCTGTAGAGATGAAGTGTGTATCACTGGGATCCAAAAAGGCCAGTACTGTTTGCGCTTTAAACTACCTGAATCACACCAGCTCTTGTTCCTCTTTTAATTCAGCTTTTTATATGCAGAGTCCTGCTCTGTACAAATATTTTGTGAACAATCAGTTTAAGATTATATATTTGTATCAATTAAAATGTTTCAGTTCCAAATAAAAAGTATTTGATATTTCCATAGACTCCATAGGTTTTAGCCTTTAGAAAGGCCAAACCTTTCTAAAACTTTCTTGTCACAGCGAGTTCTGGGATTGTCTTATTATCCACAAAGTATATGTTATCTTATACAACAACATAATTTTGCTACATATTGTTTCAAACTGGCTTCACATCAGGATAATGCCCAAAAATATCGCCTAGCTAAGCAGGTTTTGCTAAGTAAGCTAAATTTTGGAATGGAACTATAGTGTTTGGTTTCATTTTTAATTCACTAACTAAACAAAATGTCTTAAAGTTAAAAAAAAATTGATAAAAGATGCACCGTTAACCATAATGCATTGCTAGCTCAGCTGTAGAGATGAAGTGTGTATCACTGGGATCCAAAAAGGCCAGTACTGTTTGCGCTTTAAACTACCTGAATCACACCAGCTCTTGTTCCTCTTTTAATTCAGCTTTTTATATGCAGAGTCCTGCTCTGTGTAATATAACCTTATCGACTGCCAAACATGGGCAAACAGCCTCTGAAAACACAAATACAATTGTTGCTTTTTAATTTCCATCATCCTCAATTTGTTTAAGAATTACAGGGACAAACTTTATAATGACTCTAAATGAACAGGCTTGACGAGCTCTTATCTGGAGACTCCTCAGCTGGTCACTACAGACTCACACGCACACACACGAACGGTGAATACTCCTGAAAACATTAGGCTAGAAAAAATTAAAGAATCAACCAATTAGGGAGGCACAACGCTGAGCTGTAAAACAAACACCCAATTAGTTTGAAACATAATTTAGCATTTGTGTCCGCAGAATCAAATCACCTCTTTATGGAATCAATAGACGCGCTATGTACACAGATAACCTTAAGCAATGCTAAAGCAGTAAATAAACAGAATGGCATCAATGCTGACTACAGTGTTAGACAGATGTGGCATGCAATACAAGGAAATGCACTTGAGGAAATGCTAACAT